AGGCACAGTTTACAAAAGGTGTGGCCACAAGACAAGGACACCGGGTCTGATAAAAATCCATGACACTTCCGGCACTTAAAGCCATCCCACACCTCGGTGGCCGAAGCTGCCGCCTCTCCTGCCTCTTCCGCGGTCACCGTGCAGCCTGTCGAGCTGTTCCCGTCCGAGGGAGCCAGCGCGGGCGCCTGTGCCTCTACTTGCGGGACGTTCTCTGCCAGGCAGCGCACCAACTGCTCTAGCTGCTCGGCCACCAGCTGCTGCCGCTCTGAGAGTTGTCTGTACACCTCGAGGGCTTCGCGGAGGCGCCCCCCAGACGCCAAGGCATCGGCCTGTGAGAGCAGGACTTTGCACTCCGGGGGCGTCGAGGTCCTCGGAGGCTGCTCTTGCTCAGGCTCTCGCATCTGTGGAGGTTCGGAACCCTCTATAGCCGCCTCCTGCTGGGGACCCGTGTCTACTTCAGCCGTTGTTGCCTCTCGCTCCACCGACTCCGCCAGCTCTAAGTTGTTGCTGCCCAGCTCGGCGGGTAAGCTCAACATCCGTTCAGTCTGAAATGAATCCATTGAGAGAGGGATCCCCTCCGGGAAAGGCATCTAGGAATTGAGGACACGGATTCAGAAGTGAGGGTTGGAAGGAATCCGGGCTCCCACGGCCGCGGTGCTGCCGCGCACGGGGCTCTGCCGCGCCTCCGCGAGCTCCATCCTGACCGCCCCGCGCCGCCTCATAACTGTCTTGTCTCAGCAAAGTGTTATATAAAACGCCCCACGTGACGCGCCACCACGCTGCTCATTGGCCAGCGGCGGGGAAATTGTTACAAAACCAGACAGTTTTGTAACAGTGTTGCGCTTGCTTCTTTTGGCTTAGCTTTTCTTGGCTTCTTTAGGAGGTTGTTTGTGTTTACACTTTGACTTATTCCCCTCCACCACCACCACCCCCCGTGCCCGCAACTTGGCTCCTTCTTGGAAGAAGAAGAAACCAACCTCCTCTCTGCGGTTTCTCCGTCTCCAAACCCCACCCCATCCCACCTCCAAACTGGCCAGCAAACAGGTCCCCTCTGCCAGCCGCTCGCCTCCATCCCCTGCAGCCCTCCCTGGAGAAACCAGTACCTGGCGGTGCGGTCCGCAGGGTCTTCTGGTAAACAGAGGTTTCCGCTCCTGAGAGGGACCGCTGCTGTCTGCGGAGGGAGGTGGGTTGGATGTGTACTCGTGAAGCGTCCCCCACCCCTTCCGCCGTGACCAACCTCCCTAGGAATCCCTCCGCAAGTACCCGTCTTCCTCCGGAGCCCCTCAAAAGTGGTGCGTGCAGTTTCCCAAAAACTCTTGGTTTTCCTGCCAGGAGCGACTCTGAGCAGCGGGTCTGGCGAGCAGCGCAGAAGTTGGGTAAAGCTCACTGGGTAGAGGGGGACTCCCGGAGAAGTGCTTGCCGGCTTGTGGCTTGCACCGGGGGGGGGGCGGCCCTCCTAGCCCCCTCATGCCGGCTTGTGGCTTGCACCGGGAGAGGGGCGCCCCTCCTAGCCTCCTCCTCTTCATCACTCCCAACGCTGCAAACAGCGCTGGGGCGGCAGCGGGCGCCAGCTGGAGTCGCACCCTGCCCCGGTAGCCACCAGCCGGATGGGCGCGGCGTCAAGAGCTGGCCTGCTGGGCTTGGTGGGTACTCTGGGGGCGTGGGAGAATGGCAGGAGGAAGACGCAAACTGAGAGCAGTGCTTCGAAGAAAGTCCGAAAATCCTGGCACAGCTCTGCGTTGGAGTGGCCTCCAGATTCAATGTTCCTGAGAGCCAATTTCTCACACTGTGTGTCAGGATGAGGGGCTGCGTCATGATGAGTGCGCCTGCCTTGGGGCATGGCTCAAAATGGCTATGGGGCACATTTTCAGAAAGTCATACTTTTTTGTCTCCTGCGCCCCCTCCCCCCATTTTCATGGTAGCCCCAGACACAAATGGGCAGACAAGTTTAGAGACCTAAAGGACTGCACACTTCCCTAAGGTCAGTTGAGCTGCTTCAGACAGGGAAGTGAAGTCTAGGCTTGCCCTGCTGCAGTGGGTCCTGGGCAGTGCCAGGAGCAGCATTTGGAGCAAAGCTCTGCTCCAGGGGCCCCAAATCCTACAGCTGGTTCCTCCTTTGACCACATCTTAGCTGGATGACCTTGGGTGTGTCACCTAAACTCTGTGAGTCGTCATTTTCACTTTTGAACAAATGTCAGAGATAATCATAGTTGGGATGAAGTCATGTTTCAGAGCTGGGGATGGCAGGCTCCATCCAGGTTTTGCTCTCTCACTTTGAGTAAACACCAAAGCAACAGAGAACCGGTACTGTGCACTGAGCCTAGAGCCTGTATCTGGTAAGACAAGACAAAGGGAGTGGGATAGAGGGGAGAAGGCAGCAGCACATAGACAAAAGGAGCAACTGAAAAAAGAACCAGAATCTCAGGATATAACCAGGAAGGCATGAGGAACACACAGGAAAACTCAACTTGATTTGCCGGGACATAAAGTCTTCCAGGTCTTACTGTCTCCTGAGCTCCAAGGTTTTCTCCAGCCCTAACCTTGAGTCACCCTTAATCTTCAAACCACATTTCAGGATACTAACTCAACTACTTAAGTACAAATGACTTGTTCAGAGTGGTTGGGACTGGAGGTTAAAATTGGTGGCAATAATAGGAAAGACATGTGCGACTAGAAGAATGTCCTCTTAGGGTCAGGTCTGATCTAGAGTTTGAAGTCAGTCCAGGGACTGGCCAATGGGCTGGAGGTGGCCTGCCTACGCAGTAGGGGACAAGCTGGAGCTTTTGGTGATTTGCTGTCTGGTTGAGGAGCTGGCTTCACTCCTCAGCTACCCTTGCTCTCAAATGGGGTCCTAGTACTAATTGTCTACTTACTCCTTCTGGAACCTCTGAAGAGGGCAGTCTATAGAACAGGTAAAGAGATTTGTGTGAAAGGGCCACGAGATGGAGAGTGACAAAAGTCTCTTAATTCAAGAGCTTCGTCCTTTCTTTAAGTAGTTTGTTTTCCAAAAGTGTCTTCCACATGCAGAGCTGAGATGTGCCTTGCTCCCTGAACCACCTGGACAAGTGAGCACCCCCTGAATCGATCCTCTCATCCTCTCCCTTGTACTGTTGGCCATGGGGAAGCAAGGAGAAGGCAGAAAGTCTCAATCCTGCAGCATGGAGAAGAGATGTCCCTCTCCAGGCAGCCCCTCTTGGCAGCTGCAAGCACCAAGGCTGACTCAGGCATGTTAATCACTGTCAGGGTGACGCAAGATGTGCTGGTGTGAAAGGCAGCACCACCTACTCACTGACCAGGCTCCACGGGGAGTTTTATGTTGTGCAGTTATTACCAGAACAGCCTGTAGGATAGCACCAAGTGGGTTTCTAGTGAGTGCTGGAAAACTTCACCACAGCAGGTTTCTTTCTTTAACAGACATTACCTTGATATATATCTGTGAACCAACACACAAGTCCACTACTCAAAATGGCCTCCTCTCTATGCTTATTAATAGGCACTCCCTGAGGGAGGCCAGAGAGAAGACTGATATCTTTCTTTATAGATTCAAATATTCCCTGTGGAAGACCTAATTCTTTAAACTTCTTTTTATTTTGCTAGGATCACAGGTGGCTAAGGTAAACTGGAAAGCAAGAAAAAGAGTTGAACTATCCCTCATTTCCACTGACCACAGCACTGGTTTTCCATCCAGGCTCTGAAGAATCTCTTTGGGGCCCAGAGGGCAGAGCAGGCAGTACCTCCACCCTAGTACTGAAAATCCACTCATTAAGGGCAATATTTCATGTAGCAAGCTTCTAGTTATTGAAGAAAAGGTTCCTCTTTAAAATTAAGAGTTTGAAAGACATGACAATCTTTGTCCGTTTTCATATTTGTGTTGAGCACCTTCTAAGGGCCAGACACTGTTTTATACATTAAAGATATATCAAAGCAGCACTTAACTCCCGGGTCCTCCTTCACATATGGTAGTAAACTTTGCCCCAAATTTTGGGGAGGTACTAGGGGTTGAACCCTGGGCCAGACCTCCCCAGGTCTACATCCCCAGCCCTTTTCTTTATTTGTTTGTTTATTGACAGGATCTCACTACTTTGCCCAGGCTGGGCTTGAACTCACAATCATACTGCCTTAACCTACAAGAGAGCTGTGATTACAGGTATGTACCATTCCTGGCTGGCCGATATGCTCTTGTACTGACTTTCCATGCAGGTAGACTAGATATTCCTTGAGAGCAAAGATGGGTGTCTTGTGTCTTTTGCCTCCTCAGAGGGCAGTGCTTCAACAGATCTTACTGAACATGACAGTGCACATTTTGTTCCTGGCTGATAGTGTGCAGAGGGACCAGAAGAAACCCCCTTTGCCCTAGCTCCTTCACAGGGGAGAGACCTAACTGGGCTGACAGATAGTGAGTGGCTAACAATCTTTAGGACCAATAAGAAGCTCTGAGATAGAAGATTCCAGTATGAAGCCAGAGACCTGGGGATGAGGAGCGAACACACACACACACACACACACACACACACACACACACACACAGATGCATGGAAGCTTGGCCAAATCCTGGACTGACTCTCTGAGTTTCTCATTTCATAAACTAGGATAAATTTATAATCCTTAAAGAGTTAAAAAAGCTTCTGTGGGTATTGAAGGCATTCACATGAG